AAAGATTAGGTAATATATATATATATATATATATATATATATATATATATATGTATATATAATGCACACAGTATAATATGATAAAAAAAATAATACGAATTCGATTGAATTCATCAAAATAGTATAACTTTGATTCTTATGAACATAGTTAATAGCTTCCAATTTATTCCAAAACTTGTAGATAGGTCAAATCATTGGACGACCAAATGCTCTCAACGTTCAATAGTTGATTGGACCGAAACTTTCGTGTATATATACATACATACATACATATATCTATGTATGTATACGACTAAACACATTTTAATGTTGCAATTGCAATTGTCCTTTGTTAACTATTTTTCGTTCAGAGACAACAGTATATATATATATATACACACCCAATAATATATCAAATAAAATATATAAGTTCTGAGTTTAATTTGATAATTATATATGAAGCTGGAAAATGACATTTAATTAAACCAATGCCAACTTGATTTTTTTATTGGCTGAGGTTTGTCAAGTGGATATTATATTATTTTGATATAATATAATAGCCCCAAAGTGTTTATTAAATTGAAACCACCACCCAGTGGTTATTTATTTAATCCAAATTAATTTTGGTCCACTATTCAATTTGGCTATTTTTTTGTTCAATTTGAATTTTATTAACTAATTCTAAAAGGACATGCAATTAAAATTACAATTTCTAGCTGGAAAAACGTGCCAATATATATATATGGAGGAAAATGACACAACAAACCACAACTTGAGCCTTTTATTTCTAAAAAAGAATAAAATGTTGAATTTGCATTTTTTTAAAGAAAACTTGAATTTCAAACCAGTGATAAGAATGTGAACTTTGCCAAAGCTTGTCTTGGTATGTACAGTTAACCCTTCCTTTTTTTTTCTTATAAAAGTTCGTATTTTATTGTATCTTAATCATCTTAAAGGTTGTTTTTTTTTTCGTTTGGTGTGTGTATATATATATATATATATAATTGGCTTTAATAATATATAATTATATACTAAATTCAATTGGTACCATTTTTTATGAGATATACATCCTGTATAGAAAATGAATTAAAGAAAATATCAAAATATATATGAACAAAATCAAAACAATAGATACAGTTTTTTTTTATAATTTGAGAGAAACTTGAAATATCAATCTTTAATCTTAGTACTAAATATAAGGGTCGGTTTTAAAAAGTAAAAAGTAAAATTCATGTTTTATTTAGGGAAGTGTAACAAAGTTCAGACATCAATCTTCCAATTTTTCTTTAAAAAAATCAAAATAATAGTTTTTGGCTTTTTTGGTTTATAGAAGATATTTAGAAAATCTAAAATTAGAGATGTCATTGGATTGACCCAATCCATTTGGGTCCAACCCATTTAGATTTCAAAGATAAATAGGTTGGATTGGCTCGACCCGTTAATAACAATAGATTGGATTGGATCGGCCCATTAAACCCATATAAACCATATAAAGTTATATATATATTCATACACTACTTATATATATTTATATATATATATAACTATTAATATGTATATTCATATAAACTAGGGATTGAAATTTTAATAATCATTTTGGTTTATTCGATTAAAAAATATATATAAAAAATTAGATATTATATTATACTCGCTAGTTGATGGAAAAAATTTTGTAAATTTTCTTTAAAAAATCAGATTTTTTCGAGTTTTTAAAAATCCAATTCGATTCGAAGTTTTAGAAATATTGCCGTTTACATTTTTTGAACAGTTCGGTCCGAAAACGACACCGACTTTTTTTAATACGATTCGATTCGAAAATGGTGCTGAGTTTTTCGGTATTATTCGAGTTTTTCGGTACGATTCGATTCGAAACGGTATTGAATTTTATTATATAATTCGAATTTTTCGGCACGATTCGATTCGTAAATGACCCTGAATTTTTTGGTACGATGCGATTCGGAATGATATCGAGTTTTTCGATACGATTCGAATTTTTTGGTACGATTCGATTCGAAAATGATAACGAATTTTTCGGTACGATTCGATTCGGAGCGGTATCGAATTTTTTTATACGATTCAAATTTTTCGGCACGATTCGATTCGAAAATGACATCGAGTTTTTCTAATACAATTCGATTCGGAGAGGTATCGAGTTTTTGATACGTTTCGAATATTTTGGTATGATTTCATTCGAAACGATACCGAATTTTTGGGTACGATTTGATTCGAAAACGACACCGAATTTTTCGGTCCATTTCGATTCGAAAATAGTACCGATTTTTTCGGTATGATTCGATTCGAAAACGACACCAAATATTTCGATTCAATTTATATATATATATATATAAATATCTATATGTTAATATTTATATAGCTAAATTTAACAATTTTTATTAGTTACTAAATGAATTTAATATTAACTAAATATATAATGAATTTAATGGGTTATGAATTTAATGGGCCAAAACTCATTTAACTCATTTTAAAATGGGAGATTCACATATTAAATATTGAACTTTAACCAAATTTCCAAATTAAATACTCAATTATCTCATTTTCCAAATTAAATACTCAACTATATTTAAACTGACAAATAAAAACCAAACTTTTCAAATTTTAACATATATCTAAGGAATAATCCCAAAAAAAACTCTGTACTTTTTTCCGTCACAATTTAAACCCTATACTTTTTTTTTATCCAAAAAACCCTATACTTTTCAAAATTTTAAAAATTATACACATTCATATACATATATTAATTAGTACAAAATTAATTACACATTTATTTTCCACAAAATTAATTACACATTTATTTTATATATTTATATGTATATATATATTTTATATATATGTGTGATATATGTATTTTTTTCTTAAAATCATTATATATAAGAAACTATTTATTATGAGTTCAATTGTCCAAAAAAACATGTTCTTGGAAAATAGTTTTTTATATATAAAACAATATACAAATAATAAATAGTTTCTTATATATATAATGATTTTTAGAAAAAAATACATATATCACACATATATATATATAAAACATATATATACATATAAATATATAAAATAAATGTGTAATTAATTTTATGGAAAATAAATGTGTAATTAATTTTGTGCTTATAATAATTAATATGTGTATATGAATGTGTATAATTTTTAAAATTTTGAAAAGTATAGGGTTTTTTGGATAAAAAAAGTATAGGGTTTAAATTGCGACGAAAAAAAGTACAGGATTTTTTTGGGATTATCTCTTAGATATATGTTAAAAATTGAAAAGTTTGGTTTTTATTTGTCAATTTAAATATAGTTGAGTATTTAATTTGGAAATGAGATAATTGAGTATTTAATTTAAAAATTTGGTTAAAGTTCAATATTTAATATGTGAATCTCCTTTTTAAAATTTTAGTCAAATAGACTAACCCATTTGGATTTATATGTGGGTCGGGTTAGGTCAACCCATATAACCCGTCCCATTTTGACATGTCTATCTAAAATCATAGATTTGTATTCATAAGCTTAATATTATACAATGCAAAATTTGGATATCGTTTTAGGCTCGTAGTTCCCGCATCTCTAAATAATAAATATCAAAACTGCGTTTAGAACTAAGGTTATACCACTGTTGTATTTTGGATCTATGGATATGAAATATAAAGGAAATTAAATATGAATTGTGTAGTATAATAAAAAAAATTAACGAAACTCTTCTTGTTTTCATATTAAGAGTTGTTTAAGATTTTATCACATATATTAATAACCAATACGATAGTTAAACCAAAATTTGCTCCATACATTTATATTTCTATTTTGATAAAATTCCATAAAAAACGGAACTTATAAAAAAAAAGCTATATATTAAACCATGGATATGTTAAATTCCGATAAAATACTATAATAATAGAAAATTCCGAAGTTATCAAAAACAATAATATTACATCAGTCGTTGATCGGCGTTGACTAAAATATCCAATAAGCAACGTCTTATATGACACATCGGAATGATGACGTGGCAAACAAGAGGATTGATACTTAGTCCACATCAATTGTCACGTCGCTAATTTCGTTCACATCATAAAAAAAAAAAACTTGCAACCAAAATTTAAAAAAAGACATATATATACAACACATATGTACATATATATACTCATACACATATATAAAAGGTTTCCAAATGTATCATTTCATCCACATGGTTGGCAGCAAGGTTAAGAAGACAAAATAAGGTGCGCCATTTGTGTTATCGACTCCATCTTGGCCCAATACCACATGTCACGAAAATTCAATGAGTCATTGGTTTGTTTTTTTTTTTTTTATAGTTTTCAGACGAAATCCTAAACTAAAGAGAGGAGAAAACTCTCAATTTATACAGAAAGGGGCATTCTCCAATCATAGATTGAAGTTTTTTTTTCCTTATATACCATGTTTTGGATTAGGGATGGACACAGATCGAATACCTAGAAATTTAAAAATATCCAAACTCAAAAATTCAGATATTCTAATATCATTATCTGATCTCATATCTCATTGGTTTAAATATTCAAAATTTCGGATATCCGACCTACGTTTTTTGTCCACCCCTGGATGGATTATGAAAGAGAATGGACAAATGCTTAATTTGTTTTTTCAAATTAGTTGACTCTGAGGATAGGCAAAGAATCAAAAGAATGGAGAGATGATATTATGATATGCTCAAATGGAGGAAATAAAAAAAACAGGCCAAAGCAAACAATGTGGTGGGTGTGTTGGTTTGGCTTCTTCTCAGTTTTCTTTTCAAAGGTATTTTCATCTTCACTTTCACTACTACTTCACTATCCTCTGTATATATACACACACACTTTTGCATATATCTTTTTGGCCCTTTTATTTTAACCATCAAACTAGACTAGACAAGTAAAATTTAAAAGTTGATATCCAATCCAATCCTATCCTCGAAAACGGATATTGGACGAGCAGAGATTCAACAAAGATGAAAACCCGACCTTGCTTCAGATGCCAGATGACGGTAACCCGAACCGGGTGTAATCATGCACGACTGTATAGAATTAGAACATGAAAGCTTCAAAACCTCACCCACCTCGTGACAAACACGGAGCCAATCACCGGGAAAACGTCAAACTTTTGGGACAACGTACTTTACCTTGAGACACGACAAGAATCCTCTCGAGGTCTGCTCAAGTCGGTCACTTCATGAAATCTGATTAAGCCAAAAACAAACCATACAAGATCATATATAAGAGCAAAGGGCGATGAGACCCTCTTGGGAACCGGTGAAATTCATACACAAACCATCACACATTAATACTTCACAATGTAAATATTAACATCTCAGATACTACAAGAGTTCATACGATAAAATCTACATAAATACAACAATGTTTGGAAATATGACATGCTTCTGACTCCATCCATTTCGACACCCCCAAAAACATTAACCACAAAACCAAAGCAAGACAATACTAAGTAGGCTTTTGCTCCTGGGCATATGGTATCTGCAGAAGCGAATAGAAGCTCAGTTATTTGGACAATAGTTATCCCAAAGCTTGGAGCTTTATCTAATCTCAGAGCAGGAACTTGAAGATGCAAAACACAGAGACAGTAACCAAACCAATGGTTTTTTGCAAAGGGATATATCAGAGGACATGACATTCCATAGAGTCTTGAGAAAATTTAGGGCAACCCAAATGTATGAAACCTGATTATTGATGAAAGATCCAGAGAGAGACCATGTGATTTACCTGAACCAGTTTCATGTTTCCTGTGCTTCGATTTCTCAAACTCCAATTGCATCTCCATCAACATGTTCATTCGTTGTAACTCTAGCTCCTTTGTAATCTCCATTCGTTGCTTCTCCAATTCAATAATCATCTGCTGCTTCACACCTTCGATCCTCTCGTAAGCTTCCCTGAATTGCACGTCGATCCTTCGCTTGGATCTACGTCCTCTACTCGATGCTGCTTCCTCGCCACAAACCCCCAATCTCCGGTCTCGTCGTCGTCTTCGTCGTCATCGTCATCATCGTCATCGTTAAGGAAACTTCCTGTCGACTTCGATCCGGTCGGATTTAGGTTGGGATTCACCGGCGCCGACTTGACAGCTCCACCGCCGGCTCCAGCTGAGGCGGAGGACTTCTTCAACACCGGTCCGATCAGGGTATCGAGGCGGGGGAAGAAACGCCATGACGACGATGACGACTTGCCTTTCTCCGTCTTGTACTTCTTCTTCAGCGTGTCTATACGGTTCTTGCATTGAACATCGGACTTCGGTTTGCCGCTCCCATGACGCGAGTTGACTGCTTCTGTGACCTCCTTCCAATCGCTCTGTCGGAGATTCCCGCGGTTGAGCTTCACGTATCGGTCGCCCCAAGCCTCGATCAACGTAGCCGTCGCGTCCTCGCTCCACCAGTCCTCTCGTCCCGCCGACGGATGGTGGGACCCGTCACTCTGCGGCTGGGACGGTGGAGTCGGCGTCGGCTGAGACGGTGGCGGAGGAGTCATCTCCATCGACAACGGAAAAGGAGGAGGTGGTGCTAACGTGCGCACCATAGGAGGAGGGCGTAGGATAAGGAGAGGGGATGATCATGAGGTGGATAGAATCGGATGGTGATAGGGAGAAAATGGAAGGGTGTTAAGTGGTCTGACATTGGTGACCGGCGGTGACATCAGCAACCGTAATGCGTTAACGCAACTCCCAACGGCGATTAAGTTTCTTCGCCGTCTCCATAACCGCTCCATTTTCCAAGGGATCCTTAACGGCCCCGTTAGTCAACGTTATCTCTCTCAAATTGAGACCGATATCGGTTAATCAAACCGGCTTTTCGGTTAAGGTTTGAAATTGAAAACCAAATTGAACCCGGTCTTGGCTCGAGTTCTGCACCTCCGGTCTTGTCGCCTTCAATCTCTGCACCGAATATAATATATATGTGTGTATATATATCCACAAGTTTTGGGAAAATATTCCATCTTTTGGCTTTTCATGGATGATTTTAAGTCTTACTGGTGTACAAATTGATTGAAGTAATTTATAACCAATTTCAGAACATATAATGTCGTGGACCGTCTTCCAAAATTGACTAGTAGTAGAAGCTCTTAGATATTCTTCCCTGATATTTTTTTTTGCAAGAGCACTATATATATACATATATCGCGCGCGCCAAACACATCGGTCTTACAGCCCCACCGGGAAATGACGTCATCTCCGCCGTTGCCTCAGCAAGCATCGACGGTTTTGTACTGGCACAAGACCGAGTACGACGACCGGAACTTCCAGATCCACGGCCGGACCCTCTTCTACGCCCTCGTTCTCTTCTCCACAGCCCTCCTCCTCGTCTTCCTCTCCCTCTACATCCGCCGCATCTGCCTCCTCCGTCTCCCCCAGGCCCATGCGCCGCCGCCGCTTCCCATCTCGCGCTTCTCATCCTGCGGACTTGACCCGGCGGAGATCCGGAGTTTGCCGGTGGTGCTCTGCCGGAGAGAACCGGCGGAGGAGGAGAGTGAGTGTTGTATCTGTCTCGGCGGATTCGAGGACGGGGATAAGGTGAAGGTGTTGCCGCAGTGCCGCCATTGTTACCACTGCGAGTGCGTGGATCGGTGGCTGAGGAGCGAGTCGAGCTGTCCGATCTGCCGAGTCTCTGTCCGAGTCGACTCGTCCGTGTCTGTAGCCGCGGAATGAGACGAAACGACATCGTCGTGAGCTCGACACTTTTGTTCCGTTGTTCATGCAGATGACGTGGTTTTATAGAACTCTTCCTTCTGTATTTTGTTCCGCGAAGATATTTATTGGTACACGGAATGGGAAATGAATGAATGAATTGACGTACAGATTTTATTTTTCATATTTTTTTAATTATATCTTAAATTTTCTTTCTTAATTTACACTCTCCAATCAAATTTAAGCAGAAAGATTTAATATTTTTAAAAAGATGACACATAATTAACTATAAAAAAGTAACACAAAAGTAGCAATATATATCCAATGCAGTTTCTAATTTATAATCTCTAATTTCTTCCAGGCTTTTCATTTCAATAATTTGGGCTTTTATTGGGTTTCCTCAGGAGCTCGGCCCAAAATACTGCTGGAGAGACTAATCCTTTTTCTAGGGTTTTGCCACCATTTATACGGTTGCATAAGCGTTCGATAAGATCATCTTCCTCGGCGGCGGTCACTTTCCTCTGACTGGTTAGGGTTCCGGCACTGAGAGCTGCTTCTGCGAATCCACCATGAGAGCCAAGGTGAGTTTTCGGTTTTACTTCTCTGCTGGGTTGGAGTTTGTCTGAATCGTACTGTGGTGTGTTTCTGAAAAAAAATCGGCGTTTTTTCTGTCGCTTGGTGAGTTATTTTTTGTGTTGTGTTGGTTGTACTAGTGGAAGAAGAAGCGTATGAGGAGGTTGAAGAGAAAGAGAAGAAAGATGAGACAGAGATCTAAGTAGTGTTTTGTATTTTGAATTTCTTCTCTGCACCTTTTGAGACTTAATCGCATTAATGGTGGCGACGGACCGAATCAAATTTATGGGTTTTGCTTCAGGTTTCTGTTTTATGTATGGCTATTGCTCTCTGGTCGGATTCTCAATCTGGTCGTATACATCGTGTCCTCATGTCCGTTCTCCATAGATATTAGTGTATCACCTTTCTGAGCAGCAATGTTTAGGATACTTGGAAGTTGGAACTCGGGGAGGGAGGGCGTGGACGGGTACCCATGTTTTTTTTCCCGGGCATTCTCAATAATGCCCCTCGGGTTTTTCGCGGACTCTCGATCATGCCCCCTCGGGTTTCAATGTCGGTGTTGGTTTCTTGAGGGGCGGGTACTCGGTCAATGATGTAGCATCATGTGAAACCTAAGGTCGAGGGAGCGGTAGGCAAGGCCGATAGGGAAAG